CACACTCAACTATATTTGTCTATGAAAGTCGTTGAAAGAGCCGTCATTAATCAATAGGGCCCATCGCCACACTCAACTATATTTGTCTATGAAAGTCGTTGAAAGAGCCGTCATTAATCAATAGGGCCCATCGCCACACTAAACACATTTGTCTATGAAAGTCGTTGAAAGAGCCGTTATTTATCAGTAGGGCCCATCGCTACAATAAACATATAAAATTCCTTGCGGGGCCATAATTTCATTTACAGCGTCCCTAATATACGAGCCAGACAAATACAAATATCATAAATAATGCAATTAATCCCACTAATTATTGTAAGAAACCCCTACTTGTTTAACGTAGAAAACAAGTGATTTTAACAAGTTGATTTGGTCAATTGTATTCACTGATGTAAAAGTACTCAATATGTTTTATTGTGTGGAAAACTTGAGAAAATTCTGCGCACGTGCGTGCGAATTTTGATTTTGGACGTTGAGACGTTGTCTTTCCTCTTCAAGAGGAAGAGGTCAAATGCACCTGACCCTTCCAGATCAATAAGACCTAAACTCCGATAATGATCACAGACAGACAGTCCTTCCTCTTCAGTATTTAAGAAATTGTCGCCTCTATTACAAAGAACATTTATACTGGAGGTTGACTTTAGTATATCTTAACTTCAAGTGAATGTGTTTGAAAATAATGAATCTGACTTGATACAACTTTTTATTTTCTGTTTTATTTAATAATACATTTCCAGAATATTTCTTTAATAAACACGCATACTTTTATCATTCACTAGCCACTTTTAAAACAAAATACACACAAGTTATTAAAAACACGTTCTATCTATCTTTCTCACTTTTTACATTCGCTTTTAGTTATTCTGTTTGTAGTTCGAAAGAGTAGGAAAACGTTCTTTTCAGAAATTCTGTTTATTGCAGATTCTTGAATTTCACACATTTTAGCTGTTTATATATGGTTTCCTTTTTTTAATACACATACTTTGTACGTCATAAGTAATCTGTACGTGTAGTTAGGAAAATACGTGGATTGATAAAAGTCAATAACAGACCAAAACACGAAACCCTATAACCTTTCTTCATCGGGGTCAAACCTTCCCAGTTTTCTCCTGATGAATTAAAAGGTCAATCTCTCGAAAGCGCTTGGGCTGTAGGGCTTCGTGTTTTTGCCTATAAAGTGATAGAATCTCTTTTCGTGGTTTTTAATCTTACCGAGTCAATCTCACAGAATCAGCTGTTACTTGTACAGTTGTGCTCAGAAGGAATACGTTGTTCCAGTTGGGAGAACACTGAATTTCGGATACCACAAAATATTCTCCATATTTTAAGCTGTGGGTGCGTTAAAAGAGAGACAGTTAATCTCCTAGCGTTGATTGGTGAGTCGTACGGTACTGCTGACTGGACTCTGGTCAGTAGTTAAGAATTAGGGACTGTGGAAGATAACCATAACAGCTTCCCATAAATAAAAAAAGACTGAAATACAAGTTGTTGTTTTTTTTTAATTTATGCATTATACACGAATCCACGATGTTCTTTTTTCACGAACCACCGTTTCCAGCACGTTGTTTTCTGATTAAATAATAGCTAAATTAAAACTACTGTAATTTATTGTAAAAGTGGTTTACAGTAGTTTTGGTGTCGGATGTTATCACGCTCTACAAGCTTATATTTTACAAAGTTCATTTATTCTAAGAAGATTCAGTTTCCAGACCTCCCACAGAAACCTTTAAAAAAACCTACAATTCCGTTCTCATCATTTATTTTTGCATAGAATAGACACAAAAATGCTGTATAAAACCTATAAAGTTAAGGTAAACCTATATTTTAAACCCAAAAAATTGTCGCAAAATATTTAAGTTATGATATTACAATAATTATCCAATACAGATATGTGAAAATACAAATATTTTGTAGAATTTTTTTAGTGGGAGAATAATTTAGTCTTATCTGGACTTACTCGGTGATATTTATTATCATTACACACAAAATAATGGATATCTTCATGGAACCATGTCACACCAAACATGCTCGCCCTTTCAGCCGTGGGGGCGTTATAATGTGACGGTCAATCCCACTATTCGTTGGTAAAAGAGTAGCCCAAGAGTTGGCGGTGGGTGGTGATGACTAGCTGCCTTTCCTCTAGTCTTACACTGCTAAATTATGGACGGCTAGCGCAGATAGCCCTCGTGTAGCTTTGCGCGAAATCCATAACAAACAAACAATCTTCAAACAATGTTCGTCATTAGTCAGAATTAGTTTTATATATATATATATATATTTAACCCTATATTTTGTGAAATCGCCATTTTCTCCTTATTTTTGGGAAAAAAAAAGGAAACTTTACAAAAATCTTTACAGTGGCCCACTGTGAGTCCTGTGAATATGTCAATAGCCTTACTGTGTTGAATGAAATAAACTTTATGAAAATAACATTTGCGATGTGACTTTCCCATTGTAAGTTGTTTTTTGGTTTTTGACCTTACATGACATTCCAAAGAGAAATTCATAAGATAACTTGTATATTTATTATGTATAATCCATATCTTACATATAACTTGTGACGTAAATAATCCAGCCGTTAATGACGGACATTTAAAGTCTAACACGTTTAGAAAGAAAAGTAGCACCATGTCTTCGTTGGTGGGCGGGGTTATATTAACTATTACCCTCTGAATTGGTGAATATTTACAGATTTCATTTTATTTCTTGACAGCAATGCTATTTGAGGTTTAATTGAGGGGTGGGGCAAAAAGTCTTGGTTGTATCTAAAGTAAAAGTGTAATAATATATGGTTTGTACTGTAGCTTTACAGAACATGTAAAAAAAAGTGTAAGAGGAACACTTTATTGTAAGGTTTTTCAATCTTCTTAGAGAAGGGGCATTCAACCTCCTTCGCCCCACAGTTAGCGCCACTGTTTTTAGACGGATGGTATCGAATACTTATCTGGTCAGCTGTTGCAACAAAATCCTCAGTGTTGTTATACACAACTAACACCCTACTTACTTTAACTGATTGTTAATATCAGATAACTCAAACAAATTCGGGTTTAACTGTTGATCTCAAGTTGTCTTTTTCATTTTTTTCCCCGGACGCTAACACATTTTGAAGAGTGTTAGGTGGTTGCATGTTTTCCTCACTTAATACGGGTCCTGTATCCAAGCGTATTGTGCCCACTAATTCTTCTTGTGATTTCCGAGAGAACTGATTCCTGTAATGTTTTTGTTTGTTATTTGTTTTACGTTTTTTGGCTTTTCTTACACGGCTGCTTCGGCCTAGTAACAGTGAGGATCTGTTGTTCTTCCACAAAACGTCTAATAGTTTACCTTCACTTGCGAACTGTTCCTCCTTTAAAGATGGTTTGTGCTGGAGGTCACTTGAGTTTCTTCTCCAGAAAAGGTTCGATTCACTTCTGGACTTGCTAGGAGTATTGTCGAGAGGCAAAGGTATTTTGTACAAAGACATCATGGACTCGCTCTTCACGGGAACCACAAACACGGCTTCTTCTGAGTCAGAATTGGTAGAGTCACTTTTGTCACCAATATGGTCAAGGTCATTCATAGAGAACCAACTGTTTTGAGGGCGGGGTGAAATACTTCTGGAGAGTTCTTCGGTGAGAAGTCGGTACACATGAAAGGGGATAATGTCATTAGACTGATGTCTTGTCTTCTGCACGGTCTTTTCATTCTCGGGGCTTCCTTTAACACGAGAGGAATCTTTTGGAGAATCAATATGAATCACCAAGTCTTGTACAGTTTCAGAGATACTGCTCTTTTCACTTGAATTATCTGGATATTTCCAGACTTCTTCTTCTGATCCAGAAAGTTCCATCTCAGAGTCATACTTACAAAATACATCACCAGACCGCACATCTCCTAGACAAGTATAGTGAAATTCAAAGTCGGCGTTCGCAACTGTCGTGAGAGATCCACCATAGATTTCTTCTTCAGCTTCTGCACCACCAACGCCGAAAACATTGTCTTCTGGTAGACTCGATTGGTAACTCAGATTGCTAAGATTATCAGAAAGGGTTGCATAAATATGGGCGTCGGCATCTCTCCATGCATCCATCTGCAAGCTGCTAAGTTTCGTAACATCGTCCTTCTCTGGCTGGGGTTTAGTTTGGACAACCGTCTGTAAGTTGCTGGTAAGGTGGGATGGACTCAGCACGGTGTCTACTCCATAGACGCTGGGCAAAATTTGTTTCTTTGCCCTTGTTCTCCATAGACTTTTCTTCTGTGCACTTGAGTGTTGAAGTTTGCCCTTCTTGCCCGGTGTTCTCCGATAATTCGTGATGATTCCAATTGGAGTGACCGATCCAAACGGACTTAGTTTAGTGTTTCCTTCTAGGTACAATGGGGAATGTCTGTCATCTGAAGATAAGTTGAGAAAAAATATATATATACATCGTCTAGCCGTTGTAAGGATTTTCTTTTCACAGTTATATCTTAGTTGTTGGCTTCGTATTTAATTGTAATCTTTCAATGTGTTTATAAAACTAGGACATAAACTAATATCAGTTTTGATTTTAGCTTTAATTCTGTGTACTATGAGTGTTATTTCAGTGGTATTGAAATATAAACTATTTTGAAAAAGGATTAAGACCAGAGTAAAATCGAAGAACATTATTAAAATATGTGACAGAAACAGAAAAATGGGTCAGTTTTCCCAGTAAATAATAGCTGCTTACTTTTCTTTTTAGCTGTAAGTATAGTCATCATCGTTTATTGTTACATGTCTAACAGTAACACGTGTTAGTTCATTATATCAACTATACGCTGCAATTCACCAAAATTCATTTTGCACTTTGAAGTCTCGTTGTTAATAAAGAGATGTATACCAGTCTCGTTGTTAATAAAGAGATGTATTACAGTCTCGTTGTTAATAGATAATGTATTTCCAGTCCCGTTGTTAACAAAGGGATGTATTCCAGTCCCGTTGTTAATAAATAGATGTATTCCAGTCCCATTGTTAATAAATAGATGTATTTCCGGTCCCGTTGTTAATAAGGAGATGTATTCCAGTTCCGTTGTTAATAAAGATATGTATTCCAGTCTCGTTGTTAATGAATAGATGTATTCCAGTCCCGTTGTTAAAAAAGAGATGTATTCCAGTTTATTAACAACGGGACTGGAATACATCTCTTTATTAACAACGGGATAGATGTATTCCAGTCCCGTTGTTTAAAAAGAGATGTATTCCAGTCTCATTGTTAATGAATAGATGTATTCCAGTCCCGTTGTTAATAAAGAGATGTATTCCAGTCCCGTTGTTAATAAAGAGATGTATTCCAGTCCCGTTGTTAATAAATAGATGTATTCCAGTCCCGTTGTTAATAAATAGATGTATTACAGTCCCGTTGTTAATAAATAGATGTATTTCCAGTCCCGTTGTTAATAAATAGATGTATTTCCAGTCCCGTTGTTAATAAGGGGGTGATCCATGCTTTTACAGATTTACTCGGATGTTTTGGAACAGAAACTTCCTTGTGGAAGTTTTTAGTTTTTCTCTTTGAGCAAATGCTACATTTGAAGGCATTCTTAGCACTGAATTATTGGTTCGCTTTGAACACCAAAATATATATATATCTTTGGGTATAATTAACATTTTATAGAGAGTTATTTTCACGTGCTCGTCCATATAGAAGATCTCAATCCACCATAACATCAGCACATTACTTTAAATACTAAGAGCTGTTCAGTTACTTACCCCCAAAGTCGGAGAACTTCCCACTCCGACGTTGAAAAGCGCGTCGCAGAGCTGAGCGATGGTGGGAATCTGTCAAATAAAAGACAAGTGGGATGACTAATCCTTCCACTAATCTCAACCACAATATAATGTTCTCGTGCCACGGAGACCAAAAAGGCGGGATCAACGTTGCGAGGATGTTCAGAACCTGAAAGACAAACAACAAATATTCCACAGTAATTTACACAGAAAATAATAATAATTTCATTGTGAAAGTGTAGTCTCCCGGAGGGACACAGTAAGTTTATGGACTTACAACGTTAAAATCTGGGGTTCGATTTACCAAGTTGGACACAGCAAACAAACAAGCGAAAATGTAACTATTGCCATCTATCGGAATAAATGAAAAGCATAAATCAAATTTGGCTTAATTCTGGATCTGATGATCAAAGCTACATGTTAAAGAAAGAAATGATATACATAGAAATAACAGTTTTAATAAAAACACATGTTATGTAGGTAGAACTACCAATAGACTATCTGTCCAAGTAAGGGATGGTAAATAGCATATTATATTATGTTAGAAGTTTGTATTTAAAGTTGGCATAGGCAGGTCTACTTGAAAGGAGGAATATAACTACATATCTCAAGGAGTAGGCGTTATATCTAAGATACTGGTATTTCTTTTGTACAGTGTCTGTCTTCATCAGTGTGTCTTTGTCGTTGTCCTTATTCTTTTTTGTAGGAGATCCTGAAAGACACGCCCCAGATCGGTTAGGCCTTGTTTGCTTTTTATCCCGGATCTTCGCGGTAGGTTTTTCACGTGACCTTAGTCTGCCAAAACTTTCCCGCCCAGGACCTACACGACCTTAAGCGCAATATAATTCTTGCCGTGGTTATGGTCACGCGCCCACCCGTAGTCTTTGTGTTTAACAAAATAATTAATGTCATCGGTTTTCCTGTTGTTAAGACTACAGACGCAGGGAATCTTCTGTTGAAAAGAGCAACCTTCTGACTGTCTTGCTAAGTTAATGGGATTGTTATCTCAAGTCGATAACAGTATTTATTAACAATGCTGATTCTAATTGAGGCTACAACACTGCTAAATAATATATTGTTGATTCTTCTGGTGGAAACAATGAGTCAATGGGAACATTGGTTGAATCCGTCATTATTGTTTGTTAAATCTGCTAAATATCAGATTGTTGATTCCTCTGGTGGAAACAATGAGTTAGTGTGAACATTAGTCGAATCTGTCATTATTGTTTGTTAAATCTGCTAAAGATCAGATTGTTGATTCCTCTCGAGAAACAACGAGTTAGTGTGAACATTAGTCGGATCTGTCATTATTGTTTGTTAAATCTGCTAAAGATCAGATTGTTGATTCCTCTCGAGAAACAACGAGTTAGTGTGAACATTAGTCGGATCTGTCATTATTGTTTGTTAAATCTGCTAAAGATCAGATTGTTGATTTCTCTGATGGAAACAATGAGTTAGTGGGAAGATTGGTCGAATCTGTCATTATTGTTTGTTAAATCTGCTAAACATCAGATTGTTGATTCCTCTGATGGAAACAACGAGTTAGTGTGAACATTAGTCGAATCTGTCATTATTGTTTGTTAAATCTGCTAAACATCAGATTGTTGATTCCTCTGATGGAAACAATGAGTTAGTGGGAAGATTGGTCGAATCCACTAAATGGTGTATTGTCGTCTGAAGACTAGTATACCGTTCTCAAACTATAGAGAACATACTAAATGGTGTATTGTTGTCTGAAGACTATAGAGAACACACTAAATGGTGTATTGTTGTCTGAAGACTATAGAGAACATACTAAATGTGTTGTTGTCTGAAGACTATAGAGAACACACTAAATGGTGTATTGTTGTCTGAAGACTATAGAGAACACACTAAATGGTGTATTGTTGTCTGAAGACTATAGAGAACATACTAAATGGTGTATTGTTGTCTGAAGACTATAGAGAACACACTAAATGATGTGTTGTTGTCTGAAGACTATAGAGAACATACTAAATGGTGTGTTGTTGTCTGAAGACTATAGATAATATACTAAATGATGTGTTGTTGTCTGAAGACTATAGAGAACATACTAAATGATGTACTGTTGTCTGAAGACTAGTATACCGTTGTCTCAAACTATAGAGAACATACTAAATGATGTATTGTTGTCTGAAGACTATAGAGAACAAACTAAATGATGTGTTGTTGTCTGAAGACTATAGAGAACATACTAAATGTGTATTGTTGTCTGAAGACTATAGAGAACATACTAAATGATGTATTGTTGTCTGAAGTCTATAGAGAACAAACTAAATGATGTATTGTTGTCTGAAGTCTATAGAGAACAAACTAAATGGTGTATTGTTGTCTGAAGACTATAGAGAACATACTAAATGATGTATTGTTGTCTGAAGATTATAGAGAACATACTAAATCATGTATTGTTGTCTGAAGACTATAGAGAACAAACTAAATGATGTATT